GCAGACAGGCAGGCGAGCAGTTAGGAGCCAGCAGTCCCGGATTGTGAGAGGCATCCCAGATTGCAGAGGGTGCAGGCCCGGCTGAGGGACAACTCCCCCAACCCCCGTGTACCAATTTCATGCACTGGGCCACTAGTAAATAATACAAGAATAAACTATGTTTCTCGTACTCACAACTGTAAACCTATGTTTGCCCCACCTTGTATATAGAATACATAGGAATAGTAACCACAATGGTAACCCTTTCCACTCAGTTACTTATTAACCAAATTTCCTTTGATTTTCTTTTCTGTAGAAAATGCTCCTACATGTGAAGATAGAAGGAAAAAAGATGTAGAAGTTATACCCTATTCCATTAATTTTGTAATTATATTTTTTCCTCAATGTTTTAAAGTAGCATTTACCAGTAGGGGTAAGATTAATTGTTACAATACAAACCAGTTTGAAAATTGGTTATGAAATTGAGCTATAATATATAAAATCTTATGGTAATGTGTAGATCTGACTATATTCAAGTGCAGTTTTTATATCCACACCAGTTGTCTTGTAATAATCAGGAATGTATCCTCTGTGTGGTATTTACAAGTTAATGCTATTTTAGAAATCACACCAGTATATCTAGTGGCTTTCCTGGGTATATGTGGCTCATTATTAATTATAACTTTAATTTGAAATTTTAGTTCAAGGGGATGGGATAAGCCCTTTCAAATTCTTAGTTAGGAGTTTTGATGGAAGCTAGAGATGACTGAATGAGGGAGAATATTAGGATGAGTTACAGCAAGGAAAGTCAGATGATAATTAAGCAAGTACATACTACAAAAATAACACAGGATCTAATATAAAATGAAGGAGACAAACATTTAAAAGAGGAATGCCTTAAAAACTTATAAAGGAACTTTCACAAATACAAGTAAATATGCATATTTTAATAAAAAAGAGAAGCTCATGCAGGTGGCTTCAGTATGGCTAGAAGTGTCTGAGCCATCTTCCTCTTGAGAAGGGAATGGGGAGGAGTGACAGGTTGCCTTCCAGTGCCTACTTCATTATTTTCTTTTTCTTCTTTTGTATTTTATTCTCCCTTTTTGTATACTCTTCTCCCTGTTCCACTTTTCTCAAATTCAGTCTCTCCTTCAGAATGAGACTTTCTTTTATCTAACACTCACAGAAGTAATTGCTTATTAAAGTGTATATTGTCTCTCATTAACAACGAGAGAAACTTACAACAAATTTCTTTTACATTAACAAATCCTATCTAATAAAAGAGAAACATGGTAATTAGCCATACCTCCGCTACCCTTCCCATTGGCTAATCAGGGCAATATGCAAATTAACTGCCAGCCAAGATGGCGGCCGGCAGCCAGGCAGCTTGAAGCGAACATGAGGCTTGCTTGCTTCAGTGATGGAGGACTCC